CTCCTCTCCTCTTAATAAAAGTTTGCAAAGCAAAGTTTGCCCTCTCATTCGATCAATATTTTACCGAGGCGTTGTTGACAGACTCGCTACCCAACTTCTTGCCTTCCTCCTTCTCTCCCCGTCACCCTTTCTCCCCCGCTTTAAGTCCAGAACGTCGAATCTCGGAGAGAACACCGACTTTAATCTTCTTTTCCACGAATTGTTTCTCACTTCCCTTCTCCGCGAGCCTGGTCGATCCTGTCGAAGATCGAACTGAAATTCTTTAATCGCTGTTTCGACCGGTTCAAGCGGCCCCTTTGATTAACGTCGTTAACTTTTAACCCCGGCTTAACTTACATCGTTACGCTGCCCCACGAGTTCGGAACTTTTTCTGTTTATACTTCGAATCCGTCCCGCGCTACTTCGTTCGTCGGGACTTTCTTTCCGTCCGATCTTCTTACGAAACCGTGGAAAGGAATCCTGTACTATGGCCGGCTGAAACATGCGTTTCACGCGACACTCGTCGACGTATTTCATAAGCATTTTGCGATAGAACAATCGTGTTACCACCGTTCTCGCGAAACTGCATCGGTACGAGAACCGACATCGCGGGAAAAACGTTCGGTGATCGCATAGAATTAATTTACCAACGCGTACGAGATACAGAAACGTCGGGGAACGAGTACGTATTTCGGTTCACGTGTGCGAGAAAAGAGATACAGGAGGGCTGAGAATTTGCCCAACGTTTCGCAATCTACCTGGGAATTTTTCCATTAACACTTTGCGCTCGGAGAATTTTCTAATAACTCGAAATCATATACTCGCGCAGAACAGCTTCCACAACGAGATATAAAATAACTTCGGAGATACAGTAATTTCTGCTCTTTTTTACAGTTTTTACAGTTTCTCTGGTACAGATTTCGTACAACAAAAATGTTGAAACTTGAAAAATACCGCAAAGAAAGCGTATTCGTTGCGAGAGAGGACGATAGAAAAGAAACGTTCGCAACGTTAAAATGGAGGCGTCTGGTCTGCCTCGTAGAAGGAGGGTCGAAGCGAGAAAAATAGGTCGGCAGCCGGTGGGGAATCGCTGAATCGGATGCATCGAGGCTCCTCGAGGCCGCTACAACGTGTTTTCTTGGTCGTGACTCGAGGCTCGAGACTCGAGACTCGAGACTCGAGACCGCGACATCGACGCGCTCGATTACCCTGCGTCACGGCATGATCCTTTCCGGTTTTATCGGAGGGACGCTTCATCCGGATTAACCCGAGCAGAGCCCGGTGCACTTTCCGAGGCCCGTTATCGTTCTGCACGCGTCATCTGAGATTAATGTTCGATTAACGACGAGCCAGACGATCACCGAATCTCCAGAACCGCGTCTCTGCTCTCTCTCTCTCTCTCTCTCTCTCTCTCTCTCTCTCTCTCTCTCTTTCTCTCTCTCTCGTGCAATAGTGACGTCAACTTGCGGAACATACTTCCATCGGTCTAATGGTTCCTTTCCCTTCCGTCGCATTAAGTTTCGGTATTGTCGACGAACCGAGGAGATCGGTGGAAATTGAAATCGTTTTTTCAGAAGCGCATAGGTTAAGCCTGTAACCCAAATCCTTCAAGCTCGAAGAACTTTTCATCGCATTTGCCGTAGGAACGTACAGTAATGTGTCTCCCTAACTGACGCTCGGATTGCGCACAAAAATGGACAATTTGGGAAGAGGAGATACGATTATTCGAGTCTCGTGTCTCGTTTTTATAATTGTTAACAATTCGTGACTATAAAAATAAACCGCAAGTCTCGAATAATCGTATCTCCTCTTCCCAAATTGTCCATTTTTGTGGACAATATGAGCGTCGATTAGAGAGACATTACTGTATTGACGCTGTGAAAAAATAATCCAAGCACGTGTCTCTTTTCGTTTACGATCTCTAGGCAACGGAGCTCGTCGATCCACGACAAAGAATTACCTGTATGCGGAAAAACTAGAAACAGTAGCTCCAAACGGCATTCGCAATTTTCGATGAATAGTCGTATTTAATCTGTCATCAAAAGAGATGCGTAGAAACATAATTTGAAGCTCGCGTTGCGCAGCTCATGGGAAACCGAAGATTATTCTCGGAAAGACCGCAAGCGTCGACTCTAAACTCTCCCGGAACGTTGTGCAACAACAACCGAGTCGACCGCAGACTAAAAGATTAAACTGTTCCACCCTCTCTCGACCCACGAAAACTCGATACAGAATTTTTATTTGGTCGTTTAGGTCGACAACTGTTCGCCGGAGTTCCGTTCTTTTTTTTCTCCGTGGGAACGGCTTGTTTGTCCCGTTCCACGATCTCTCGGCTGAATATAATAACGGAACACGAAGGAACCGAGATTCCTCGCCGGTCAGCCAGCGGGGAAAAAAACTCAGCGAAAAGTGCATAAACGTTAACGAAGTTAAATTATCGTTCGCGGGAGGCTCGGGGGAGCAGTTCCTCGGGAATCTGTTTTACTTATTGCCGCCGTAACTTTCGCCCCAGAAAAAAGAAACAGAGCATGGAAATGTTGGCGTGGCTCCTACGTGACCGAACTCCGGATCGCCCTATTAATATTCGAGCACCGTAGGCCCCGTATTGGAAATGATATAATATTTTCCGCGGCTAACGTATTGGGAACTCCACGTTCCTGCTATTAAAGTTCGCTGCCTGCGATTTGTTACACGCGGCCGACGATTCCTAATCTAATTCCAACGCCTTTCCGAAAGCCTGACCCTTTTGTTTTCTGATCGGGAAATTCTTCGTTTATCATCGCTCTAAATTGCATAGACGTATCTCTTCCCAAAATTATCAATTTTCGTTTACGAGCCGAAGGACAATTTGGAGAACAATCGTCCCGCATCTAGGTCCTCTTAACTCGTGTTTCGAAGTCCCCTGAAAAATGGAGTTTCGTTGCGTGAACGAGAACCGAACCCGATTCCCCGTTCCGTGCGCCCATTACGCTAATCCCGAACCGAACACGGTCGAGCTGTTGTTCGAAGCTCGCTGAAGCAAAATTGAATCGGGAATCGTTCCCGGCGTCGGCGTCGGCTCTTAATTTCGCGAGAACCGGCCTCCTCGGGGAGTCCTGGCAGCAAACTCGGCTTAATCCGATCCGATCTAACTTGCTCGCGCACCGTGACGGTACAAAGCGAAAGAAAAACGGCCGGCCGGGGATCGGACGTCCCGAAAACGTCCCCAGTTGGGACACCGGGCTGCGCCAATGCCTAAGTCGCGCGCGCGCGCGCACGTTTTTGCTCGCGTAATTAAGCGTCGCAGGACCAGGAAATAATGGCGGGGTTGGTGCCGAGACAACAACAAAGGCGAGCGTCTGGTTGCTACGCGAAAGACAAAGGGCGCTAGCATTGCGGACGTTCACTTAGCGTGGGGACGTTATGCTGGTTTCGTCAGAAGAAAATATACGGAACAGCGGGCAGAACCAATGAAATCTCCGGCCGCGGACGTTTCTGAATTTCGAATTTACGAAAATAATCAACGAGCGGGCGAGGACTAAATTAAATGGAAATAGTTTTAAATACTAAAAGAGAATTTTGGAACAGCTTTGTCGTAGGGGTTACTGCGACGGTTTATATAAAATAATCCGAGAGAGTTTTTTTGGTTTTTATATAACGAGAACTTTAATATAACTTGTAACAAAAAGGCGATGGGGTAACAGTGTGTAAAAGGTAAAGGTAAGCGAGTGACGGATGAGACAGAAATACGAACACGTCGAGAGTCGGAGGAAAACTAGCTAACTAACGTCTCCCGGTCGAGAGGTCCTCGTATTTATTGGGGAGAGCGTGTTGAAATCGGTAAGGGAAGGTCCTTGGGAAGGGCGAAGGCCTTTCCCAAAGATTTTCCAACCGGGGTGATCCGGAACCTAAGGTCCGAAGCTGTGTCCCAACGTTTTTATTGTTTCATGGCGGTGTGTACGCCTTGCGTCGGGAAACACCGTAAAAGGCATCTGCACACCCCGCTTTTGGAGGACGTGGCTTTTTATGTCTGGTCCGCCACACAGCCATATGTGTGTAACATTCGACTCGCTGAAATTGGTAAAGAAAGAAGGTATCGATGGAGACAATTTTCTTTCGCATAAAAATCAGCGATCCGCTTATTCGTTCGAACACGGCAACGATAAGTTTCTGGATATTTAATGTTCCAGCCGAAGCCCATACTCGAACCCGATTAAGAACTCGTAGACGTTCTTGAAAAATTGATTTAACATTGCTACTCGCCGAAAGGCAGCATCAGCGAATCACTCTTTTAAAGTTTTAATTGCACCGGGAGGAAAATCCGAACGTTCGCGAAGTTACGTTTCGGAACGACCCGCCAAACTCTGTTTATTAAATCAGGGGAGCGGTATGAAACGTACACTCTTCGGAAGTGGAATTAAATGTCGGCCGTGCGAGCTCGGAAGTTCCGTCACCGCTTTCGTGCGGGAAAGACCGCAGATTTACTGGGAATATTGGCTTTTAGCGGGAGAAGATGTCGCGAGAAACTTGCGCGTCAAAAGCAAGAGTTTCCCCATAACTAACAGACGAATGGCGGATCCTTTTCACAAAGCTATGACCGAGAAAACTCGCGTATGATCATTTATTCGTTCTAGGCGCGTTAATTTGTCTACAAGCCGCAATGAAACGTGCGACAATTTAAATACAATTATTAGAAACTAAGTAGCCAAATGAGGACATTCGTGCCCTGGGTCCACGTTGACCCAGAGTCCCATCGCCCAACTATTGAAGTTCGAACGTGGCCCAATTTAATTCTGAAAATACAGATGTCTCGATTTCCTCGACAAATTCGGCCCCAAATAATGCTCGCGAGCAAAAAGGAATCAATTGTGCTTCCGAATTAGAGCTCGAGGCGTTAAGCTCCGAAGGGGCGATTTCACCCTATGAACTCAGTTGTCCGCGGTGAAAAAGATACGCGCGGACACGTTGTTCCACGCACCAGCAGGACAAGAAAGTATCACAAAAATCGTACGTTTTCCAGTAAGCAGATAAAGAAAACTCACCCTTGAGCGCCGCCTCGAGGCCACGTAATCTGCCAACAATGGAGGCGAGCTGTGACTTGTACTTGAGACCGTCGGCCTCGGATTGTTCGTTGAGTAAACGGTTCAGGATTCTCTCGGCCTCCTCCTCCTTCACCGAGAGTGACTCTTGAAGATGATCGGTGTGCACCTGTTCCTGCAACTTCAGCTGCCGCCGCATCTCGTCGTTGAACTTCTTCTGCTCCTCCAGCAGCTACCGAAAATTCATCGAAACAATCCGACTCAGCGATCGTTATTCATAACAGAACAATATTATTAACCCGTTCGCATAGCAAATTTGTCCGGGCTCGAACGGTTCTGTTAAGGAAAGCTTCGCGGTATTCGGCCGCTCGTTTATCGCGAAAAGAACGCGCGTACAGGCGCAAAACAATCGACAAAGTCGTCCAGCGTCGTTCTTGTTCGCGATGCAAATGGGTTAAAGCGTCTTTAGGGTACTCTTATTCCCTTCGAGTTTACTAATCGGTGATTCGCTGAGATCGGACACGTGACCAAGATTTCAGATATAAATCTGCTAAACATGAAATCTCCGAAAAGAACGTTAACGAGCTTAATTTTCCCCGTGCCCGCGACCCGCTCGCTTTGCGAAAGAAAAGTAGAACGCGCAAGAAGAGCGTGCAACATCCAGCGTGCCAAAATCCGTTCCCACCATTTGGAGGATATCGGCGACAAATTTGGACGTGACAACAAATAAACAGTCGTGCCATTCGACGTCGGTTCCAAACTCTCGGCAAACTTCGCGACACACGTGTTTAAGTTTAATCGGCCGGAAGGGTGGAGAAAAAGTGGCCAAATTTCGCGGAGGGCGCGGAACGTCGAGTTTAATCTGGCAACGACGAGATTTCGGGATGACGGAGGAGCCAGGGCCGGGCACGATATGAAGATATTCCCGAGGAGGAAAGTGTTTCATAATATTCCGAGACTGAGCTTAATAATTCTGATCCCGTTGAAAGCATCCCCGCGACTCCGTCCTGTGTCTTATAAACTCGGCGAAATAAGGGTGCACTTGGCCCAATCTTCAACGCGGAACAACCTGAAACAAAGGGAGCGGAGCAAGCGACAACCGAAAGAATACACATTCCTCTTCTTTCTTTCCTCTCTTTTTTTTCGTCTCGTTCGCATCGTCTCGCTCCCTCTCGCTCCCCGTCTCGTAGTATCTGCGGAACGAGCGACTCGATGCTTTTATTTTGTGGCTGTGTGCACGGCCTCGTTGCCGAAAACCGTGTCTTGAAATATAAGGGGCGGGCGGAAATATATTCGCGGACTGCCTCGGTCTTTGTCCTAGATCGCTCGCTTCGATCTCACCTTCCCCGCGAACCCGATGAATTTTGGACGCGATCAACTAGAACCATTTCGAATTACTCGGAACCCCGAGAACTGAAACCTTATTCTTTCCTACGTTAGCTACTGCCACGTGCCCCGTATGAAAGCGACAATCCGAAGAAACGATTACTCGATTATTCCATCAAACTAAATCAACGATCTCTTCGCATGCTCGCTCGCTCGCTTCGTACGGATCCGCACACACTCGCTGCTCATTAAGGACCTCCTCAATCGGTGTTATCTGGCACGAGATTCGAAACTTAGGGAAATTCAGTCACCCCATCGTCACCGGCGCACCTTCCCCAACACCCATTACTTTCCCCCTGCTCCTTTATTCCGTTTCCATAGGCGCGACGCGCGACGCGGCGTTCGAGTAACCGAGACTCGGTTTGATAAGCGGTCTCCTTCTGTTCCATCCTCCAACCGAGTTTATTACCTTCTCGGGACGATTTAACACGCGCCGTCTCTTCGTTCAGACCTCTGAGAAACGCGTACGGTTTCATAACGAAGTTTTCATAACGAAGTTTTCGTAACGAAGTTCCGTAACAATTTCGATACGATTGTTACGCTCGAAAAGAAAAAAGGTTTCGGTTCGAACGATTATTTCGAACGTCGGAAATTGCCGGATCGAAGCGACCCGATTTTACCTTCAACGTAAATAATTGAAAAATAGAAAATAAATCCAAAGGAACATGTTGCATCGAAGATCGTTGCTTCATAAACCGATCACGTTTCTGCTTACGACACCGAAGTGCGAAATTAGTTCGTAGAATCTGAATTAGCATAAGAATCGAGGCGGTACGTAGGCAGCGCTGCCATCGGATGTTAAAAGTAGCGCGCGAGCAACCGGGAGGCGAGTCTTTTCGACGGTAAATTCATGTCGCCCCACCCGTAATTGCAATTGCGAAGTTCCCCGCGAGCCGAAGTAAGTTTCTATCTAACACCCCGATCGTTAGACCACTGTTCGCGAACAACAAGCAAAAAAGTCACGAAACGTAGGCTACATAGACCGAAATTAGCCGCAGTCCTCGCCGCTACAAACTTATCCAATTTTACAACGCTGGGTCACGTCGGAAATTAATTTTCTAGATCCGGAACGAAAGTTCCGGCCCGTTCGACCTCGCGCTTTTTTCCCCGTGTCACCGTTATTAGACGACACGGGCTTGTGCAACTATTTAATTTAAACATCGGCCCTTTTAAACGGATCGTTTGTCATGTATCTACCAACTGCAGTTAAATACCGCTGATAGTTTACAACGTATCGAATTAAAGAGTCGCGTCTATCCGACAGTATAGTGACTTTAAGGAATTTTTCCTGGAAAAATTGAGAGACTATTTTTTCTTTGATAAGTGACTTGCTGTACTTATAAAAATTGTTTTAAGAAAAGGATGAACAAAGGCAGACAATGTCTGTGTCACCTAAAGACCTCCACTCGCAGCAAATAACAAACTCCGCTCTCAGAGTTCGGTCCGCCGAATCAATTTGCCAAAATCACTGCCGATTTACCGAATCAATCTTTACGTTACGCCTCCACCTACGGTCTAGACTCTACAGATTGAAAGACCGAAAAAAGAGCAGAGCAAAGAGTCTCTGGCCGACAGGGCTTGATCGTGCGGGAAACGCGTCCCGGGACGCGTCGAGATTAGCGCGAGCGTAATTAAACTTTGATTAATTATCCGTGGTTAAAGGTTCGCCGGCGGCTGGTCTGATTGGCAAGTGACGCGAGCTTCTCTAATCTGTTCTTTCTTCGCCGACACCTCTGCCCCGGCCGACTCGACTGTCCTCGTCGCTCGCGATCGCGATCGCGATAGCCACCGCCACGATTCTGGCTCGCTTTCTGCCTGACGTACTTTCTACACGCGATACGCCCACGGATCCTTGTTTCTGGGGCGGTTTGGGGAACGAGCGTGCACAGGGTCGTGCCGCCTCTATGTGCAGAAACGCCGTGTCAATAATTAACGCCCGGCCGAGCCGACAACCGCCGTGGCTCCGCGCCGTCGAGGGGAAGAGAGATCATCGACAGCTCTGCGAACACCGGCAGTCGTGATACGGCCGCGGCAAATCCTTCGATCGGCTCGGCCGATGATCCCGGTGGTCCCTGCCTCGGGAACGGACCAGCCCCGGTTATCCTGGACTTTCCATTAACAAGCCGCCCAACACCGGCTGTCCCGCCATTTTGCGAGCTTTCAACTAGCCGACGCGTCGCGCCGGGAAACCGATTGAAATGAAAATTATCCGCTCCCCGGTTGATAATTGTAGAAGCAGAGATACTCGTGGTTCCGGGAGGAGACGAAAACGGAGGCCGGAAAGGACAACAGCGGGGAAGCGAGAGATCGGCGAGCAAATCGGTCGGAAGGGCTTTCTTCCTCGGCGCTTTCGTTCGAGGCGGCTGTTATCGAGTCAAAAAGGAATTCGATGGCGGTCGGATCGCGGGGGACACACCGTTGAATATTAAAATATCGACTGACGCCGAGGACTCGGAATCGCAGCCACCGACACCGGCCGGACTCTTCGAGCTGAAACTATTCCGGCCGGATGTCTTTTCAGACGGCGCGGCGTCGATCGGGAATGGACGTATCGATCGTCGGCCATCGGTTTCGTGTTATTAAACTCGATCGTTCCGAGCGATCCGGCCAAGGAACACACTAGATCTCTCCGCGCCTCTCTCAGTCGCGAGGCGTTGAAAGGCATGATTACCGTCTTAGAGACGAGTTCGACGAAGTTCTCTGCTACGAGATCCGAAAGTTACTCCGTGAAGATCGAGAATATAAGCCGATTGCTGAAGCGCGCGGCTCTCCTGTGTCGAATAAATTACTCTTGGAACTCCTAATCGGAACCGTCGGCGAACATCTGTTTGATCGCTCCACGGAATTGTCGTTTTCCCTCGATTAGGCTACTGGGAAAAGCCTGCGAAATATTCGCTCGCGAGCAGATCTCTCGGCGCTTACGCCACGCGCTAATTTCTAATACGATTCTATTAATGTGCGCTAGAAATAGTGCGCCTTAATTTGCTGTTTGTTCTCATTTGCGCGGAGATCCGCGGACTATGCGCGAATGCGAATGCGTTATAAACATTTGTGCGCTTTCTCGAAGAACCAGGATCGGAAACGAAGTCGATTTTCCGATCAGAAAATTCCTCTTGGAAAAAATAAGGTAGAATCATCTTTAATGCATCTCCCTTCTGTTCGGAGAGTATCTAAAAATTCTCGGAAAACATGTCGCCTGTGGAAAATATTTGGCCGCGGCGTCCGATATAATTTCCTAAAAATTAGAATATCTAATCGCGTGGAAATCGATTTTGCTCTTATCGCTCGGATATTACGGCTTTCCCCCGAAAAGTCGACGCCACGGCGATTAAAAAAAAGAGACGGAAATTTCGCGCGAACCGGTTTAACGCTTCCTCGAAATCGAATTTATTTATGTGTAAAGCGAAACAGAGCCGCGGAAAGGGAAGTATTCGGAAATCCTCTCGACAAAGCGAACAGCCGATCGGATAATCTAAACCGAGCCGGGTGCGTGGCCGCTCTATTTCCATTCGATTTAGACGGTCCGGTCCGATCGGAGCAGATGGCCGCTAACAGCGGCAGAGGCAATTTCTGATTTTCCAAAACGGATTAGAGAACGATGCGCCGGATTAGCCGGCGTACGGCGGCGCATCGTTCCGTTCGCGGGATAAAAACAGATTTTTTTCGCGGCCAATATTTTTGCTTTCGGTCCCGTACACGGCCAGCCGTCCGACTAATTTCATTTCCGCGACGCGGCGGCGTGGGAAACGCCGACGAAGTGTCAGCTATCATACTTTCTATTTCTCCCTATTTTCCCGCAGTTTTTCTATTTCGTTCCGCCATGAAAATTCAACGACGCGTTCCATC